CAATCATTACAGTTAAAATGAGTATAAAGACGAATTTAAAAGAAAACAATTGGGAAAAGTGTAAATTCGGCTCTCCACACCATCTTATTAGTATCGTTTGGCCTCCATCTTCCTTCAGTAGCATCAGAGCCAGCTGAGGTACCAAATGCTGCAGAAGCCGCAGCGACAGCAACGGCTGCTGCAGCACTGACGGCGGACGAAACAATGGCGGTTGTGACATTGGAAGTATCTGATGAAGTTACAAGCGGCAACCGAAGGCCAAGGTCAAGACCGTGTCCTGGTGCCAGACGATTGGTAACTGTGAGTCCGGAACGCAGGATTACCAGATTCTGTGCACTGCCAGAACGCAATACCTCAATGACAAGTCGCGTGAGGCAAGGCCGAGGGGCGAGTTGGCAGACGGTACTGGCATCCAAGCTAGACTGGTCAGATATACAATAGGTGACCTAAAATATATAAAAAACGAATTGGAAAAAGCAAATGAACATGAATGAAATATGCTAGTAATTCAGCCAAATCAACTTCACTATATTTCTGGAAGCATATAGAATAGCAAATTCGGGAGAAAACGCAATCAGAATCAATATTCTTATAATATACAAAGGCATTAGTAACGCTAGTGACAAGAAATGACACTTTATTATCTGCATCCGTTTTTATTGTGTCAGTTGGAATAAATTATTTAACAAAAAACACATTATACTTACCCGCAACTTAACATGATTGAATAAAATTTAGGTATCGTACATAAGACTAAATAGATGTAAATTTAAGTGAAATGATGATAGGAAAATTGAAGAGAATTTTTTTAGAAGTCATAGTTTAGTCAACACTTTTAAACAAAAATTTAGTAATATAATAATTGAAGCAAAGTATATTTAAATAACGAGATGGAAGAGGACTTTCTCTAGCGTCAAAAGTGATGTGATAAGAGTGCTCTCAGCCAAAAAAAATATAAAACTGTTAACCACTTGTATGAGATGTATTCACGCTACTTAGTTAAAGGTGATGAATGATTCGTAATTGAATTTTCCGACAATCATATGACTAGATATAATTTCACATTGCCTTGCTTTCCCAAAAGGCGTTCTCATCTAGGGTGGACTGCAGTTTCGACCTCGCTTAGGTCTTACCAACAGATCCAGAGTCAAGAAAACTTGAATCGTTAG